ATTTAAATAAACTATTACAATGTGCGGCCGAAATTGGGCAAACTGAGGCTGCGATAGGTCACGGGGCTTAAGTAAAGCTGTGGTCCGTAACATTCTCCCCCATTTATTTTGGCAACGTCCTTGGAGCCCTTAATAAATGATATGCTTGATGGTTTGAAGGTTTCGAGGTTTTTTCCATTTGCCTAATTATTCTCCTAGTTGTTGCATCCGCTCTATTTGAACAAGTACTCTTGAAGATAGTTCCTTGAAGCTCGAGTAGTTCGATGGCCAAAGATCTCTTTAGTACGAGGGAGTAACGGTTGCTTGCCAGTAGTAATCTTGAAAGAACTCTTATTGGGAGAAGAGTTCTTTTGGGCATTAAAGTACATCCGAGCCGCATCTAAGAGTTTTACCCAAATTTTCTGCGAAGCAGAGATAAAGTGCTGAAGATAGTCTTCCGGCATAGAATTGAAGCGCCCCATCTGTCCATCAGACTGTGGGTGAAAACTGGAACTCATGCTCAAAGTTGTACCAAGAGGTTTGAACAACTTGGTCCAAAGTATGCCAGTACATCGAGAATCTTAATCACTGACGATATCCTTATGCAATTCCTAATATTTGACAATACGTTTGAATAAGAGTTGAGCTGTTTCTTCGATTGATACATCCTTGGGCGCTGCGATGAAAGTTTCATTTTCTGATAAGTGGTCTACCATGACGATGATAGTGCCAAAATCTCCAACTTTTGGCAATTCACCAATATAATCCATCGATACACTCTCGAATAGTCTATTCGGGACGGAAATGGGCTCCAATAAGCCTGCCTTTTTCAGATGATCCGTCATATTTTGCTGACAACCAAGACAAGTTTTCACATTAACTTGCATTGTCGTCCCGCCTTTGAGACCAGTAGTTTGCACATTGTAGTAGTGCAGAAGTGCGAACCACGAAAATCCCACTTCTCAACATTTCTCCCAATCGTTTCCGAAGCTCTTCAAGCTCCGACTGAGACATATAGTATGGTGTCCTGGTGGGAGGTTTGACACCCGGAACAAGTTCAATCTCACGATTAATTACCCTCCTTGGTGGCAATTTCTTTGGTAACTCATTCGGCCTGATATCCTCAAATTCCTTAACAAGCCTTTTGACAGATTTTGGAATTGGACCAGTCGCCTCTTCGATTTCATCTAATCGAAGAGTGCACAAAAACGAAGGTTCATTCTTCTTGAAACCCTTACTATATTGCATGGCCGATATACCCTTCTCGCCTGCTTTTCCAACTTGTGCGGAGATAATGCATGGTTTACTACCGATCATTATTAACGAGTCTGAATGCGACAACACTGTTGTCCTTATATCCCGAAGAAATTCAAATCCCAGAATGAGCTTGAAATCATCCATCTAAACTGCCAACAAATTCATCCTTCCCTCGAAGGGTACTTTGATCGACACAGATTTCGCTACTCCTGCTATTGGTTGAGCAGCGGAGTTGATAGCTTTAACTTTTCCCTTACCTTCTCCTAGAGCAAGTCCGAGCCGCTCTACTTCGGTACTTGCGAGGTAGTTGTGGGTAGCACCGGTATCTATCATAGCCCTGATTGACTTTCCATTGATCTATACATCAATGTACATCAGGTCTTTCGCCCTACAAGTGCGAACCTTCAATTCTTCCATCTTCGACTC